GCATTCACTATATCCGCTCTCCCCGGACCCTGCATTCACTATATCTGCTCTCCCCGGACCCTGCATTCACTATATCCGCTCTCCCCGGACCTTGCATTCACTATATCCGCGGTCTCCCCAGACCTTGCATTCACTATAGCCGTCTCCCCGGACCCTGCATTCACTATAGCCGCTCTCCCCGGAAACTGCATTCACTATAGCCGCTCTCCCCGGAAACTGCATTCACTATAGCCGCTCTCCGCGGACCCTGCATTCACTATATCCGCTCTCCCCGGACCCTGCATTCACTATATCCGCTCTCCCCGGACCCTGCATTCACTATATCCGCTCTCCCCGGACCCTGCATTCACTATATCCGGTCTCCCCGGACCCTGCAATCACTATATCCGGTCTCCCCGGACCCTGCAATCACTATATCCGGTCTCCCCGGACCCTGCATTCACTATATCCGGTCTCCCCGGACCCTGCAATCACTATATGTGGTCTCCCCGGACCCTACATTCACTATATCCGGTCTCCCCGGACCCTGCAATCACTATATGTGGTCTCCCCGGACCCTACATTCACTATATCCGGTCTCCCCGGACTCTGCATTCACTATATCTGGTATCCCCGGACCCTGCATTCACTATATCCGCTCTCCCAGGATCCTGCATTCACTATATCCGCTCTCCCCGGACCCTGCATTCACTACATCCGCTCTCCGGGTCCCTGCATTCACTATATCTGGTCTCCCTGGACCCTGCATTCACTATATCCGGTCTCCCCGGACCCTGCATTCACTATATCTGGTCTCCCACAGTACACACAACAAGGAAATTCAACTATTTTAGTAAATATAAACTGCTAAACACCTTTTTTCACCAGAGGTATATAGCAGTCTTGTGACTTCTATCAGTGTCCAGCAGAGCACCAGTAAAGCTTGTAGGAGGAGTTTTCATTCTCTCCTGATTGTCCTATGAGGCTGCATAACCCCTGACCCTCTGTCTGGACAGTGCTGATTGGCCCTGTGCTGATCACAATCACCCTCCCAAAAAAAAAACTCTCTAGCAATACACACAAAACTGAGCATGTCCAGCTTGTGCAGGTATTAATTATAGTTTTCCACTTTAAGATATGCATCTAAAAACTGTTGTGGGTTTAGTAACACTTTAAGATATAGCAGCTCCCTTACAGCCCCCTCAATAGTTACCTGAGGCTGATCTGGATCCAACGCTGTGCCTGACTGCAGCAGCTCTTCTCCCTTCTCTCCTGTCTTACAGGCTTGGCTGAGAGCTGTGGTGGCCATTGGCTCCTGCAGCTGTCAGGACTCATTCACACCATACGTGCATGAAGACTGATGGAAACTGATGCACACATTTCACTTGCAGAGACATCAGTTTACATCAGTTTTCATGCGCGCCTCCATGAGTTTTATACACATTGCAGATTTTCTGCACAGAAAAAAAAATTGCACGTGATACTAGTGTTGTGGTGTGAACAGGGCACAGAGAACAATTCATGTTGTTGTGTGCTTGCAGAGCATGTGCAGAAAATTGATGTCTCTGCACCAGTGTGAATGGAGCCCTTAGCCAAAACCTGTGAGCAGAGAGTGGAGCCAAGCCAGGCTGAGTGTCTAAATAGAGGCCTCAATATATATATATATATATATATATATATATATATATATATATATATATATATATATATACACACATATACATACACACACATATATATATACACACACACACACCCCCATACATACATACACACACAAACTGTTGAAATGCATTTTTATTACAAAATATCTGAAAAATATTTTTAAAAAATACATTTCAAATATACTGTATGTCTTTAAAAATACAAATCTACATTTTTGGAATGCATTTACAAATATATGTAAAAATATATGTTAAAATGACTTTTTTGCATGTTAAAAAAAAATCTGAAGACTATATTTAAAAACAAATACATTTTTAAAAATATTTTTCATATATTTTGTAATATATAAAAAAACACATTTCAACACGTAGTATAACATATAAAAAAGTCACTTTAACATATATTTTTACATATATTTAAAAATACAAATCTACATTTTTGGAATGTATTCACATATATATCGTGCATTAAATAGTGAAGCGCTCCCAAATTATCTAAAAAAATACCCTCTGTGCGTACCATAAATACCCACTAAACTTAAAAATAATTGATACTATAAGGTGATAAAAAAACATTATAAACTAAATCAATTAGTGGAAAAATAAAAATGCATAAACACCTCTCATATATACCAATATATTATTGCCTCTTAATAGATATGTGATAGAAAATAACAAATATAAAATCCTTGATAAATACTCAGATATCAGTGATAGAAACGATTATGAAAAATGTGACAAATCATGATAATTGTGACAAACCTAAAAATCAAAAAATAGTGGTTCTGCAATAAATTATATAATACATATAACTTGTGATAAACCCTATAACAAAATAAAATTAGAATAAAATAAAATAAATCGCTTCTTAATTCAGTGAAAAAAATGAATGAACTCAGTGTTTCAGAATAAACTCAAATAGTCCATGCAAAAATGTGAAAACACTCTGTGATCTTCACTTCTAGTGCTTAAAAAGGAATCCTCCAACGGCAGCAATGCCTGCTCACCTCCCCTCCTCGACCCACACAGGGCCACAAGGCAAAAGACTCTCCTTAAAGGCAATCCTTTCTCCAGACAACTCAGCCAGGGACCTCAGGACTTCCACTCCACCTCCTCTCACCACGTCATATAGGACACAAACAAAAGCTTCCCATAGTATAATACCGTTTATTAGAAGTAATATGGCATAACAAACTTTCCCACTCACATGTAATCTTTGAATACAGCGCTTTTCCACCTCACATCATGGGTGTATTCTCATACAGGGAGGGGAACAAATATGGCCGCTGCGTCCGGACAAAACGTCCCCACGTGACCGGAAGTGACGTAATATCGTACTGGGAATGGCGTTCCGACGCGTTGCGTCACGTGCGTCGTGACTTCATCAGGGACCCTGATGAAGTCACGACGCACGTGACGCAACGCGTCGGAACGTCATTCCCAGTACGATATTACGTCACTTCCGGTCACGTGGGGACGTTTTGTCCGGACGCAGCGGCCATATTTGTTCCCCTCCCTGTATGAGAATACACCCATGATGTGAGGTGGAAAAGCGCTGTATTCAAAGATTACATGTGAGTGGGAAAGTTTGTTATGCCATATTACTTCTAATAAACGGTATTATACTATGGGAAGCTTTTGTTTGTGTCCTATATGACGTGGTGAGAGGAGGTGGAGTGGAAGTCCTGAGGTCCCTGGCTGAGTTGTCTGGAGGAAAGGATTGCCTTTAAGGAGAGTCTTTTGCCTTGTGGCCCTGTGTGGGTCGAGGAGGGGAGGTGAGCAGGCATTGCTGCCGTTGGAGGATTCCTTTTTAAGCACTAGAAGTGAAGATCACAGAGTGTTTTCACATTTTTGCATGGACTATTTGAGTTTATTCTGAAACACTGAGTTCATTCATTTTTTTTTTTTTCACTGAATTAAGAAGCGATTTATTTTATTTTATTCTAATTTTATTTTGTTATAGGGTTTATCACAAGTTATATGTATTATATAATTTATTGCAGAACCACTATATTTTGATTTTTAGGTTTGTCACAATTATCACGATTTGTCACATTTTTCATAATCGTTTCTATCACTGATATCTGAGTATTTATCAAGGATTTTATATTTGTTATTTTCTATCACAGATCTATTAAGAGGCAATAATATATTGGTATATATGAGAGGTGTTTATGCATTTTTATTTTTCCACTAATTGATTTAGTTTATAATGTTTTTTATCACCTTATAGTATCAATTATTTTTAAGTTTAGTGGGTATTTATGGTACGCACAGAGGGTATTTTTTTAGATAATTTGGGAGCGCTTCACTATTTAATGCACGGTATTTATGACTTATTGGTTGAGGTTGAGTGATTGCAGCTAGTAGATAGGGACTTACCCATACCAAGCGCAGGAGGATATCCCCCCTTATTCACATATATATGTATATATATATATATATATATATATATATAAAAATATATGTTAATGTGACTTATATATATATATATATATATATATATATATAAATATATGTTAAAGTGACTTTTTTTTTATTGTTATACTGCGTGTTGAATTTGGTATATTTTTAAAATATATTCTTCAGATTTTTTTTAACATAAAAAGTCACTTTAACATATATTTTATATGTATTTGTAAATGCATTCCAAAAATGTAGCTTTGTATTATTAAAGACATACAGTATATTTGAAATGTATTTTTAAAAATATTTTTCAGATATTTTGTAATATAAACGCATTTCAACATACAATATATAAATATATTGAATACGGCCAAAATTGTAGTATTTCAAATATATCTCAATATATTTGGAAGAAAGAATATTTTTTAAAATATATTTCAAATATGGGGCGGCACAGTGGCTTAGTGGTTAGCACGTCTGCCTTGCAGTAAATGGGTCATAGGTTCGATTCCCGACCATGGCACCTCCTGCATGGAGTTTGCATGTTCTCCCTGTGCCTGTATGGGTTTCCTCTGGGTCCTCCGGTTTCCTCCCACACTCCAAAGACATGCTGGTAGGTGAATTGGCTCCTGTCTAAATTGTCACTAGTATGTGTATGTATGAATGTGAGTTGGAACCTTAGATTGTACGCCCCTTGAGGGTTAGGGACTGATGTGAATGTACAATATATATGTGTAAAGCACTGCGTAAATTGACGGCGCTATATAAGTACCTGAAATAAATAAATATATTTTTCTTCCATGTGGGATGGCCTGGGCCCCGTACTGGAGAACTGGTGGTACCCCCTTAAACACAGCACTACATATACATGCACTGTACATTCACAGCATGTAACTACAGAAAGAAAGGAAAAGAATACATTTGTGATTCGGACAGATTTCGGACACTCACCATGGTCTGGATGGTAAACAGCCACTGACCGGAGGAAGGGAGAATTGTTGACCATCCCATAGACGTAAGACTCAACCTGCAGCCGAGATAACACCGATGTATAAGAGTGCAGAGCGAACGTCTGATACAAGTGATCCAACTTGAGCTCAAACAGTCGTTTCAGGTCTCCCTGTGCCGATGTATTGACCTCTGCCTTCTGATAATGGTGATACCCGACTACCTTGGCTTGATCGTCACAGAGACCCTGTGGAGGAGAACATCAAATTTTACTGCCACAATCATCTGTTGAAAAATGTTGTCAGTATGTCCTGCGCTCAATGTTAGAACTTTCAAGTGCCAAAATTTGTTTTAAATATAGCAGCACTCTCTGGTACCCAAATACAATGCCACGGGTAGTAAACTAAATATGTAAATAAATATAGATGCAGCACTGTATTAGCAATATGATAAAATCACAGATAAAATCATCACAAAATAAATCACAGATAAAATGCAGTCCTGTAATGGTGCTCGCTGTTTTCCCAGTGCAAATGATAGAAATGCGCACTAACCAGAAGCGTATTGGTAATACGCATGAATGTAAATATCCTGAAGATTCCCCTCTCTTTCTGGTCAGAACATGGATAGAAACTGGAGAAATGTGGAGATGAAGCGCCCTTGTGTGGTAAGGATGAGGTCCCACAGGCCAGAAGTATCCTTGTAGGGATGTGTGGAGTAGAAGGTTCCCCCTCTCTAGAGCTGGTAAAAGGGTCACTTCAGGGCTGCAAAGGTTGAGAAGCTCCTCACAGGACACACAGGGAGAAACTCATAGTGTAGTATGCAAAGTTACTTTATTAATTCAAAGATGTGTGGGTAAAATCACAATGGTGCCAGATACTAATGAATGACTGACCACTCCAAGAACAAAGATGGCCGCCGGGCCTCCACGTGGCACTGGCGGCGTGGTGTCAACGACATCCTGGGCTCCACCTAGGTTAGTGCGCATTTCTATCGTTTGCACTGGGAAAACAGCGAGCACCATTACAGGACTGCATTTTATCTGTGATTTATTTTGTGATTTTATCTGTGATTTTATCATATTGCTAATACAGCGCTGCATCTATATTTATTGACATTTCTATGAGGATTTTATATGCGCTTTTCTTTGGATGTTCAGCTGCTGATATTTTGGAGCGCTCACTGTACCATCTTTCAGTAAACTAAATATGGGCAGCACAGTGGCTAAATGGTTAGCACTTCCGCCTGGCAGTACTCGGGTAGTTGGTTCGAATCACAGCCACAGCACCACCTGCCTAGAGTTTGCATGTTCTCCCTGTACCTGCGTGGGTTTTCCTCCGGGTACTCCAGTTTCTTCCCACATTCCAAAGACATGCTGATAGGTGAATTGTCTCCTGTCTAAATTGTCCCTAGTATGTGTATGTATGAATGTGAGTTAGGGACCTTAGATTGTACGCCCCTTGAGGGTTAGGGACTGATGTGAATGTGCAATATATATGTAAAGTGCTGCGTAAATTGATGGCGCTATATAAGTACCTGAAATAAATAAATAAATAAATGGGTTGTGCTATACCTTTAAATACTAATAATAATGTGAACAAATATCAGTAAGCGTTTCTGCATGCGTGTTTTTGATGCGTTCCAGATGCTTTTTTTCCTCCTTTTTTTGGGTCATTTGGGGTCCAGGGAGTTTTTTTATGCATTTTCAATGCGTTTTACCACGTTCCAGTACAGTTCTGTGCAGGAAAAATTCAACATGTTCTACTTTTTTTTCTGAAACCGGAACGCACTGGAAATGCAAGCACTGGTGAGAACCATGCCATTGGGTGTTTTTGAAGCGCTTTTGTGCGAAATTAAAAAAAGAAAAAGAACCTGAAAAACTCAAGAAAAATGCTTCCAAATGTATGTCTATGAATGTTTTCACACTGGGGCATTGCGCTTCCGTTACGGTGTAAAAAATCCTGCTGGCAGCATTTTTGGAGCATGGTTGTAAAAAAACAGCACCAAAAACGCTTCTTTCCATTGAAATCAATGGAAAATGCCTCAAAAAAGCACCCAAGAATTGTTATTGGTGCAGTTTTTGAGTCACATGTCCTTTAAAAAAAAGCACCACAAACGCTGCAAAAAATGTATAGGCGTTTTTTACGGCAGGGCAGTGTGAAAATGCCCTAAAAGTGACCATGCCAACAAATAACCAGTGCAGTAAGTAAAAGATAAAATATACATCAGCACACTGCCACTGAATTAACAATATAGCTGCAAAAGACATCCCATTGTGTCCTCAATAAATGTATCATCCCATTGTGTCCTCAATAAATGTATCCCAAGACATCCCATTGTGTCCTCAATAAATGTATCATCCCATTGTGTACATCATGCACCAGACTGTGTTTCCACCAAAACATACAAATGTCACTGCAGACGTCTATGCGGATGCATAGGGTACAGCAATAGTGGTGACGTCATCATGCATGCCAGAGGATCTATACTTGTGAGTGCCTGGTTTTAAACATACACTATTGCATTCTCCTTTCTCTTATCCTGTACATTTATTTGCTGGCATATTGGATGGTATGATTACATCAGGAGACCCAGTGCTAATGAAACTGTGTCTAAGGCTACTTTCACACTGATCCACCACAAAAACACAGCAAAAAGCATAGGCGTTTTATCGTGCTTTCTGGGCTTGTTTAACCCCTCGCCTACAGGGCACTTATACCCCCTTCCTGCCCAGGCCAATTTCCAGCTTTCAGTGCGATCACACTTTGATTGACAATTGCGCGGTCATGCAATATTGTACCCATATGACATTTTTATCATTTTTTTTTTGTGACAGATAGAGCTTTATTTTGGTGGTATTTAATCACCTCGGGGTTTTTTATTTTTTTCTTAAACAAACCAAAAACCACTGAAAATTTGGGAAAAAAAAATGTTTTTTCTTAGTTTTTGTTATAAAATTTTGGAAATAAGTGAATTTTCTCCTTCTCTGATGTGCGCTAATGAGGCTGCAGTGATGGGCACTGATAGGCTGCACTGATAGGCTGCACTGATGAGGAGGCACTGGTAGGTGGCACTGATGGACATTGACAGGCATCACTGATGGGCACTGAAAGGCAGCACTCATATATGGCACTGATAGGCGGCATTGACTGGCACTGTTAGGCAGCACTGATAAGCAGCACTGATGGGCACTGATAGGTGGCACTGATTGGCAGCACTGATTGGCATTGATAGGTGGCACTGATGGGTGACACTGAAAAGCAGCTCAGATGGGTACTGATATTTGGCACTGATGGGCACTGGCAGGTGGCATGGATGAACACTGACAGCTGGCACTGATGGACACTGATAGGTGGCATTGCTGGGGCTACACAGATCATCAGGGCACACTGATCATCAGTGCTCTGATGATCAGTGTACATGTCCCCTCCGAGGAATGCCGATTACCAGCTCTCCTCTCCTCTGTCAGCGTGACAGCTCGAGAGGAGAGAAATGCAGATAACCGGCATTTCCCTGTTTACATGTGATCAGCTGTGATTGGGCACAGCAGATCACATGACCGAGCCGACATCTTTGGCTCTTGCTGTTGATCGGTGATCCGCTGTGTCCGAGGGACACAGCGCACTGCCGATCGCCGCACGCTCCCGGAGCCGCGCATGCGCGGTTAGAATGGGACGACGTCATATGACGTCGTCCCAGAACGAGAGAACCACCTTGTGTCCGTCATTGGACTATATGGCGGGCGGCAGGTGGTTAAAGGACACGTGACTTAACCACTTCCCATCCGGCCCACGTATATAAACGGCCGGGCAGGAGCAGGTTGCCGTTCATAAGTAGCGCCTGCATTTTCAGCCTGTGCGCGCTCCCTGGGAGCACACGTCACTGTGAACACCGATCGCTGTACAGGACCTCTGTGTGAGGTCCCGATCATGTGATCACTGACTGGCCAATCAGTGATCACATGAATAGTAGTAAGCAAGATGTCACTTCCTGACATCATTGCTTACTACGTGTGAAATCTGTGAATGAGGTCACAGAGGTCACATGGTATTCACAGCTATTCACAACTGCCTTGTACCATGTGACAAGCTGTGACCAATCACAGCTCACTCAGTATTTCTCAATGGCTGCAAGAAATGCAGTCAGAGAGGATAAATTATTGCGTTTACAGCCGTTATGGGTGTAAAAGCAATCAGTGTAAAAAAAAAAAAATCTTCATCCCCCCCCACAAGTAGTACAGTGTCACTGTGGTGACACTGTACTGCTAGGGTGACAGTATGTAAAAAAAAAAACCATAAATAATAATATAAAAAAATAAAAATTTTAAAAATATTTTTAAAAAATTATAATTTTTGGTTATAAACTGATTGGGGTTATTTTTTTTTTTTTTACTAAAAAGATAGCTGAATACATTTTGGCAAAGATTTATGAAGAAAGATTATCTATTTGCAAAATGTAATAAGAAAAACACTTTTTTTCAAAATTTTTGGACTTTTTCATTTATATAGCAAAAAAAAAAATAAAAATCCCAGTGGTGAATAAATACCACCAAAATAAAGTTTTATCTGTCTCAAAAAATGGGTACAGTATTGCATGACCGCGCAATTTTCATTTAAAGTGTGACAGCGCTGAAAGCTGAAAATTGGCCTGGACAGGAAGGGGGTGAAAGTGGCCAGACTTAAAGTGGTTAAAAACTGCACCAAAACCGCTTCTCAGAGACGTTTTTACTGCGCTTTTGCCACGCTTTCTGGGTGTTTTTAAAGGACACGTGACTTAAAAACTGCACCAAAAATGCTTCTCAGAGACGTTTTTGAGGAGTTTTTAAGTGTAAAAAAAGTGTACCACACAGTGGGGCACTATTTCTCCTACGGACACCAACAGTGGAGCACTATTCTGCCTACTGTGGGGCACTATTCCTCCTACTGACATGAACAAAGAGGCACTATTCCACCTACTGACACCAACAGTGGGGCACTATTCCGCCTACTGACACCAATAGTGGGGCACTATTCCGCCTACTTACACCAACAGTGGGGCACTATTCCACCTACTGACACCAACAGTGGGGCACTATTCCTCTTACTGACACCAACAGTGGGGCACTATTCCACCTACTGACACCAACAGTGGGGCACTATTCTGCCTACTGACACCAACAGTGGGGCGCTATTCCACCTACTG